AAGGAACGTATTGGAATCATTATAAACATCTTTGGATTTGTAAGAATCATTTGACCATGACATTGCATAGTTTTCTCCCATAATTTCTTGTTTGTGCTTTATCCACCTCTCTTTGCATCTCATGTCGCTTCATGTTCAGTAAGAAAAAGGTTAGATTCACCCTTTCCTTCTTTTAGGTATTATCAATTTATCATCGTTGGCGACTCATGAGGATATTTTTTGCTTTTCATCTGATACTGTCTTTAGTTATTTTTGGTATCTGGACCAAGAATACATGTGTTGCCATCCAGCAATTGCGGTTTTAAAATTTGGCATCACTGTGATTGTATTCTTTGAGTCCCTGCATGATATGAAAGTGTATAGAGTGGATTGACACATGTACTTTCTTCTGCAGATTAATGGTTTATCTCACGTGCTGAAGAAGCAGCACAATCTGCTATGGCTAATGGGGCAGCTACTCAAACTAGTAGAGGTCTAAATGTAAGTTTGTTGAATTTATTCTCAATTAATGGTTGCTTCATCCTTCCCTAAAAAATGCCTCCTTTTCCTTTTTTCCGTTGTAGCATGACTGCATAAAAGGGGAAGTGCACTAGCTAATGAACAACATTGCTAAAAATGAATTCCATTCTTCTGATATATCCAGGCTTCTTTCCACCAAGTGAACATGAATGCACAAGAGCAAGTTGCACCGACCAATATTCTATTTATACAGAATTTACCTCACGAGACAACTAGCACAATGTTGCAGTTGCTCTTTGCCCAGTAACCAGGATTCAAAGAAGTCCGAATGATCGAAGCAAAGCCAGGCATTGCATTTGTGGAGTACGAAGATGAAGAGCAGTCAGGGGTAGCCATGCAGGCTCTTCAAGGTTTCAAAATCGCCCCCCAACTTCCCATGGCCATCTCTTTTGCCAATAAATACTCGAGCTCGACCTGTAATCTCTGTAACTCCAGTCCACCATTGACCAAGTATTTGTAATAGCTGAAATATTATGTATGCCACTGTCCCTTAAAAACTGAGAGTGGAGGGAGATCATGTAGCATTCCAAAGGAAGATGGATATATATATATATATTGTAACAAGGATATTCCATATGCTAATTCAAGGTTGTTTATTAACTCCGGAAAATGCAAGACATGGTTTGGATCAAATTAACTGATCATGGTGATAAAATTCGTTATGCTGGTTTGTAGAAGGAAATGGGCCACCCCGGTAAATGTAAGCTGCGTAGACATTTCATTGCTGATAGGTCCAAATGTCTACATATGCTTGTGGAATGTCCTGGTTCCAAGGAAGAAATACATCATTTGTTTTACCGTAAATTTTGAGGTGAAGTTGAGAATTACTTCTTAATGCTGACAGTTTTAGTTGGCAGAGAATCTCTTGCAAGCTCCAAAATGCGTTGAAAAGATATATGCTGACATCTGAATTCTATAGTCATTAGTCATCTAAGTTAATCCAAAAAAATAAGGTCTGTGCCAACAAGAAAGATCAATTTCCTATTTAATGTCTCACTGTCTTGACTTCTGTTCCAGATCAACTTCAACTGAAAATGGAATGGTGACTAATGTAGCTGTGGCATATGCTCGCTCTATGACACTTTAGGCAACAATATTCGGACAATTCATGCAGAATGGTAAACTAAACAAGCCTGTATAAGTATAACCAAATTATTATGACAATTAAATTGGAACAGGAGTAGTAACTTCAGTGATGACTATTTACTTATATCTGATATCAGAGTAAATTAAAACAGAAAAAAAAAAAAAAACCAACAGATAAAGCTTACAAAGCAATTCAAGCAGCAATTATTTAAAAAGATATTAGTATAGCATAATTTAAATCAGTCAATGAAAAACATATTCTCAATATTAGGGTTATTTTTTGATAAATGATATAGGATTAAAAATTTGATATAATTTGAATGGTAAAATAAAATTTTAAATTACCAATAACATAGTATTTTTATTCAAGACTAAAAATTAATGACTTAAATAGGTTAATAGTGAATTTTAAATTATATAGTATTAAAAAAAAGGATAGATGAAAAGATAAAAAAAATATTAGAAAAAGTTTCAGGCAAAACGCTGCTCACTTCAAAACAATAGTCAAGGGCTCAAGGGAGCAAGTAAAGGCTGGCAATAGCCCCCTTTTTTTTTTTTATTAAGATTAACAAAATTGTGTTAAAAAATATTAATTTTTTAAATTTAATTATTAAAAATATTAATAATTAACAAAATAATAAATA